AGACGAGTTTATGATGCCTTATTTAAAAAAAATGGGTTTGGTCCTACTTTGATCGAGGATCCCATAACTACACTATTTCTTTGGATTCTCTGACCCAGAAGAGATATTAATGAAGGAAAACTTGGCGAATTTCTGGGAAATTCTATGCTTTAAGGATGATGGTGGCTCTTTAAATGTGGATCCTTAAATTTATAAGACGGGGTGTATTAACACCTAGGCTGTAGTGGATGGTGTTGATGTTTTGGAGAAGAAGGAGATTTTTGGCAAGGAGAGATATTCGCCATTGACTTACATTTACTTATTGTGTTATTTAATTAATGAATATTGATCTTATTTTACTTTCCTTTTGCATAGATTTCAAGTGGTATGGTTGCGATGAAAGTTCTTTTTGATAGGCAGAAAGCTTGGAGGAAATCTAGGACAACCACTTCTTCTTCTTCCTTTGCTCTTATTCCTACAGAGACATCGTTGGAGAAGCTTCGGGGGACATTGGGGCCCCGCTCGCGACTCAAACATCTCCCTTACTTTCTGACTGGGACCACATGTCTTCTGATGGGCTGCACAAAAGGCAGGACGACTAGACTCTGACTTCTGTTGACCAGCTTAAAAGAAGTTGGGATTCAAATGCTTTATAAGAGGAAAAATGGATCAAAATGATCACGCTTTCTGACCTTTCTCTTACGAGACTCGTTGCTCTTTATGCTAGAACTTCACCTACTTTTTTAAAATTGGCTAATGTCCTTTAATCTCAAGTATCCCTCACTTTACAAGAGGCACAAGTTTGTGTGCTTGAACGAGACTTTGCTTTCCTAAAAAGTCTTCGTAATGCTAATAAGATGAAGCTGATTTCAATGGACTTCTTTCAATATGTTCATCAGCGCTTCTTTGATGTCTATGGAAGTTACAAGTCGAGGGAGTGTTCTTACTCTATCTAATTATACTAAATAGAAAGATACATAGAATTGGAAGCATGACATAGGCGTCCATGACCGATCGCGACTCCAATAGAAGTTTCCTGGCCTTCAGAAAAAGATAGCTTGGTTATCTGGCCTTAGAAGGAAGTAGGCACCCACGACTCACCCTCCACTTTGGTTTCTAGGGTGTCCGAGCTACGGGTATATTTAGAGGCCAGAGATAAGGCCTTTGAGGTAGCGAAGACTTTTTTGGTGACATTTGTAACACCCGAGGTCGATGAGGGAAGAGGGTGGTTACATGTAATACCCGAGGGCGAGGGAGTGTTTGTCGGTGCGTGAGGCATGACAATGAGACATTCCTAGCAGCTTCTAGGGAAAAACCAAATCACATCGAAATGAGAGGGATCCTGAGACTACACAGGTATGAGATTGCATGGTTAAAGGAAGGCTTATAAGGATTAATTGGTACTACCTATACCAACAAGATGCATCTTCTTTTCGGTAGCCCGTTTCATAGGAACTCCACAGTTAAGCGTGTTTGACATGGAGCAATTTTGGGATGGGGGTGACCTTTTGAGAAATTTCTCAGAAAGCGTGTGATTGAGGACAAAACATGCCGAAAATACCTGTGTTTGTTTGTAGGGTCATTCGGTAATCCCGAAAGCAGTCTGGGGCATTACAAATTGTATCAGAGGCAGACCTCTCCCGGTACGATGTGGTTCCGGAACAAACCAAGCAGAAGCTGGTGGGCATGTAACACCCGAGGTCGATGAGGGCAGAGAGTCGTTATATGTAATACCCGAGGGAGAGTGAGTGGTTTTTGGTGCGTGAGGCATGACAATGAGACACTCCTAGCAGCTTCGAGGGAAAAACCAAATTACATCGGAATGAGAGGGATACTGAGGTTGCGCATGTATGAGTCTGCATGATTGTAGAAAGGCTTATAAGGATTAATTGGTACTACTTATACCAACAAGATGCATCTTTTTTTCGGTAGCCCGTTTCATAGGAACTCCACAGTTAAATATGCTTGACTTTGAGCAATTTTGGGATGGGTGACCTTCTGAAAATTTTCCCGGAAAGCGTGTGATTGAGGATAAAGCATGCTGAAAAGACCCGTGTTGGTTTGTGGGGTCAGTCGGTAATCCCGAAAGCAGTATGGGGCATTACAACATTGACCTTTCAACCAACTATGGTTGTTGAAGACTCCCTGTAAAAGGAAAAAAAATACTCTTATGAAAAATAGTCTAATATTCATACTGAAAAGTTGTTCGAACTGCAGTAAAGCGGCAAGAAGAAAAAAAATTAATTTTGAAAAGATTTCCTCCGAGATTTATATCATCTCCACAGGAATCGGTGTGAGGGAAAGAATATCATTCAACGGTCTCTACATTTCTAAGCTTATGGTAATTAATTGTTGAGAGATCAAAGGTACCATAAATAAAAGAAGAAAATATAAAGTAAAGACTTAAAATAAACGGAGCCTTGTTGAGATTGAATCTCATCAATTAATAACACATGCATTCTTCTGACCAGTTAAACACAAATCAATCATTCGTCTAATATTCTCATGTATCAACCACAATAGAGGTTATGTCTAACGCAACATCGAGAGAACAATCGTATTGTCTCATTTGTGATGTCTCACACAACTTAACAACACAGAGCATTAAGAAATGACACTCAAGCAAATGTTAAGTCTAAATCTATGTCTAGAGTTTAGAAACTAACAGATATTCATTATAAATCCAAATCTGAAGAGTATATTTCTATTACAGTTCAGATCAAAGATAAACAGGTAAACAAAGATGACACTCATATCAGATAAATGATTGCTTCATATAAAACGTCATGATCAGAATACGTACATACACTTAATCCTTTTTACATGCATTCAATTAATCTGCCAAATGTAAGTGAACGTAGTTTCTCATCTCTATTATCACTCATCCTCACAATACCGTATTGATCGCTACTCATGCTAATAATCAACACAATAAAATAAAAGATACTAGTGAATATCAACTTGCAAGACGATGTGAAAAGTTTGCTCATTGATAGATGAATATCTAAAATCTAAGATTTGAAAAGGTTTTGTCAAGACCCACAAATAAGATATTAAAGACAACAACAATATTGAATCAAAACTAGTTCATAATACATAGATTAGATGAGATACATAAGATATCAATAAATTACATTCAAATCCAACAAGAGATCAAAGCAGTTACTCGAAGATCAAGCTCCGAGTTGTTTTGATTTGTGATTCTCTCTCTTAGGTTTTGTGTTTCTCTCTATAATATGTTTGGAATGAAGAGAGATAAAGTTCTATTCTGAAAATTTTATGTTATATAAGTTGTGGTTAAAAAGTATAAGAAAGTACTTATATAGAAGTACAAAAACTGTCTTGTTAGCCTAGCGAACACCTTCTTCACACAGTGAAGAGCACTTTTAGGCACTTCAAGTGCCTCAGGAACAGTTAAACTGCCATTGAAAAATATTTGAGTTCGCAGTGCGAACACTTCTTCGCTACAAATTCGCACCGCGAACTTAAGGTCCTTTTCTTACTACCTCTAATCTGAAATGGTCCGCTGGGGCTTCGCCAGGAGCTCGCACAACGAACATTCGCGTTCACCTTGCTGGTGTTCGCACAGCAAACATGATGATCCTCTTCTCTTTTTTGCCTTCTTTGTCAATTCACTTGTGTCTTAATCTTTGATGTTGTATCCCTAAATCCTGCATAGTAACACACACATCAAGAAATCCAAATGTATTTACAATATAATTGAAGAATCACACAAGAATAAGAAATAAATCTATTAAAACATGAGAAATGATTTAAAAAATATCAAGAAAGATGGTTCAATTTAAGTCAAAATTTGCACTTAACAAAAACTGTGATGCATAAAAGATTAAATGAGGCTATTGATGATGGTCTTAAGACTTTTTTAAACCTTTTAAAGATGTAGTTGATCAAGTGAATTTATAATGTTCGGACACGGGATTTTCCGATCAAAATTGGACCTGAACAAACTGGTTCGAAATGATGCAATTTTAGGTAATAGTGAATCCCCCAAAATAGGATATGATGTATAATTTGTTTTTGTAATTGGTTTGAATGAATTAGAAGATTTGATGCAAAATACTTGTGCTAAATCAACTACACATATAAATAAATTTGATGTCGTTGAAATTATAGAAAGTGACAATGAAGAAGGAAATGCATACAAAAGTGATAGAGGAGATGATAATGATAATGTTGATGGTGGAAGAGATGATGAGATTAATGAAGATAAAAGAGAAGACATTATAAAGGATGATCCAAATTATTGGTGCATTTAAGATTTGTACTAGCCTATATGATTTTAAGTGTTCTATTTTATGGAGTTATTTTAGGTTCAAAATTTGAGATTTTAAATTTTATTAAGATTATTTAATATGCAAACTTATATATATATATATATATATATATATATATATATATATATATATATATATATATATATATATATATATATATATATATATATATATATATATATATATATATATATATATATATATATATATATATATATATATATATATATATATATATATATATATTGCAATCTTATGTTTTATAATCTTATTATTCTTTCTCATCTTATAAAATTAATCGCGTAAAATCTTCCGATTTTAATTACGATTTTATATTTTACGATTTAAATATCCCCTTCCGATCTTATATCTCGATTCTGACAACCTTTATTACCCTAGGCATATGTATAAATTAGATCATATAAAACTTATAAAAAAAATCCATAGCATGTTGAAGATCGAATATGCTTTTGTTTTATTACGTCCTCAACTTGATCCCTAAAAATGAACTAAAATAGGCCCTACGAGTAAGAGCAATGTGTTAAAAATGTAAGATTTATTTACTATGAGGTAAATAAACCTATTTGGGATCTAATAAATTTATCCTAATCAAACTAACATACTCTGCATTTCTGAGCAAAGACTTTAAGTCGTTTAGTCTCCTCAACAGAAAGAAAAATGAACCATAAAAGAATATGTCATTCGTCTACTGCATTTTTTAGCAGTTCACAGCTTAGATTTGGTGGCTGAAATTTCGGGATCAACTCTCCTTGTTAGACCTTCTTGAATGACTGTTACAAGAAGCTGCAGGTTCGACAAAATAGAGCACGGTAAGACAGTTAAACAAAGAAGGTGTCAAGATGAATTGATGTAATTTAGTAATCCTTTACCTCTTCCTTTTGATTGAACATATGACCTATGACAAAGCCGCGTGCTTCGTGGGCAGTGGGAGTGAAGACCTGTATAAAGTGAATTGAGTTTCATTGTAACAGAAAACTAAAGAAAATACAATACAGAAGTCCTCAGTGGAATAAAATTGGCCAAATCGAATTATTTGGTTCCTAGATCATTAACTGAAAACGAATGATTAATCTTTGGATTTAACATGTAAAAGTGGCGTTATGGCTTCATGCATTTGACTCCACTTAATGAAAAAAAGACTTGGTTATAAATGATATTCTATACATGAGAAACAAGGAAACTCACCGCAAATAGCACCCACTCATCAGCTTTGATGGGTCGGTGAAACCACATTCTGAAATTAAAATTAAAAAAAAAAGTCAACAAAAAGCAAGAAAGCAAATTCATGCTTAGAAAACTTTTTTTCACATACCTTGCATATTAAGAATCATAATGTCAAATAACTAATTATGCAACTGGTAGGATTCGAATACTTACGCATGATCCAGACTAACGCCACGTGCCCGGAAACCTTTCCCACGATGTGGATTCAAACTTACTTGAAGAAATATTAGATCTGAAGCATATGCTACTACACACCTACGAGATAAAGTATAAGATACAGCTGATGTGTGAGAAATCAGATGACTCTTCTTTAATCGTTGGACAAATTAACTCACAAAAGTATGCTAAAATGACCATCTCATTGTTGCCAAAAGGAAAACTATTTAAAATAGTTTAAGCAAAAGAAGTTAAAGTGAAGCAAAAGATGTATTTATCATCTAATGTGCAGGTTCAAAATAAACACATTTAGTACAACCAGATGATATTTTTTTTGTTTCAGTGTAGTCATTTATGTTGAAATTGTGTTAGAAAAATACCACATTGTTATAACTATTATAAAAAATGGACTATTTTTAATATAAAAAAAATGGACTGTATTGGAGTAATTTTTACAACAAAAAAAAGGACTATTACAGAACCAAAAATAAAAGATGGGACACAGTTGAAATTTTTAAAAATTTAAGGACCAAGACAGAGCTAAAAATTTAGACTAGGGATCAACATGAAACTGAAAAATAAGATAAAAGACCAAAATGCATCTTTTCCCAGAAAAGATATGTACCTATGCAAGGCCTGTTCATCTGAAAGTTTTCCCTTTGATCGAAACCAGTATCTCAAACTGCATACAATTTGTTAACAAATTCAGATAATATCAAGTTCATAACAGCTGAAATTTGATTGAATAAGAAGCTTATTGAAGTATCATTATATTCCTTTCCAAAATTTTCTCACCAAAGCATTGCATGCATGCTCAGTATACGAGTAAGCAAAATACTGCATTAATGCTCAGGCTAACCTGGGAGGAGATTTAGTCTGATTTGTTGCAACTTTAGGTTCACAGAATCGTATCTCTATGGGCCAGGGGATGAACTCAGAAGTAGCCACTTTGTTTCGGTAGGTTCTGAAGCAACAGATTTTGTCATTAATACCGTACAGAAAATCATCAGGCATACTAATTAGATTTTTTAAATATCTTGTAATGACAGTGTTGGTCACTCGAAGAAACCCAAGACTCCTAGATCTTAGAGTCTTTGTTTTTCAAACACTGATACAGAAAATTCAAAACCATTTTACAAGAAAAGTGTTGAGTTTCATTAAAAAAAGGAGTTTCCATCAATTTTATTTTTATAAAATTTAAATTCATAAAGGAACCCCATTTTAATATCGTCTTTATCTAAGCTGTGATAAATCAGAATATTTACCAGGGGTGTCCTTCCCTTCCATTATCAGATATAGCTTTTTGAGTCATCATAAATTGAAACTTATCTATAAAATTATGTGTAGCTAGTTGTAGACAAATAAGGGAGCTAGAAAAGTTCTTAGACACATAATGCTAAGAAAATTAACTCTCCACAGATTAAAGATCTTTCGGGTTGTCCCCAAGGAGACACAGTGATGATTAAGCACCAGCCACATCAACTTGGAAGACCCAGGTTTAAATCTTAATTAGTTCAAGCAAAGATGGATTTGTGAAAAGGACATGGATTTCTCCTTCATGTAAAACCCATATTCTTAATGGACAAAAGACACAATTTTTGTGTGAAGCCCCTGTATTGCCCAGAAAGATACATTTTGATATAAAAGCGGAGATTCCTTGATTGTTTACTAACAAGAAAAAACAACTACAAACAAACAAATAGAAAATACAGATAGTTAAATAGCAACATTGCATCAACAAATTATTGCTAACAAGAAATCTTACATTGGCAAGCGAGGGTCAGTTAGACGTCTCTCCCGTAGCTCTTCAAGTGGCAGAAGCTATAAGTAACAAATTAAAAATAAAAATAGATATTAATAATCTGACATCCACAACGACAAAAATTTGTAATGAATATAAACTTGTTGTATCTTGCCATTTCTGGTACAGGGACAGATGGCATAGCTACTTCCTGGTGCTCAAAGGCTGATTCTTCTCCCTGTGGATTAAAATACAACAATGATAAACGTACTCTTGAATTCAGAACATAATTCCTTCACTAGAGCAAAAGCTCATGTCCTAAAAGAATATCTGTCAGTCAGTGACGCACACTGACAACATCCAAATTATAGTTTACAGCCATTGAAAAGAATTTAAAGATAGATAAAGTGATAAAAACTAAAACTTTTATCATGAGAACAAAATATACAACTTTTTATGCATTTGAACCAACTTTTTCCCCTTATTTTGAAATCTTGCAGAATTTCTACATTAGCATTCAAACCAGTTATGAATTTTATAGTATCTTTATGAGGAAATGATTTTGTTAACCTTTTTTTCCTACTCCAACCACTCTTTCAGCATATGAATTTAAATTGTCATATAATAAAATATCCAGAAACCATAAAACTTCAATAAAATTTAGGGAGATAGGTGAGATTGTTGGGGAAATTAAACTGCCCCATAGTCACTCGTCCATACATTTCTTTTGCAGACAAAGTGGTGAGCCAATTCTTAAACTCTCCGTGCCAAAGAACACTTTGTAATATGGATCTTGTTAAAGGTGCTCTAGAAAAAAAATTCATTTATGAAGACAAAGAACATAGTCAGATAGTTTACTTCTCGAATGTCGATCGGATAGGCTCGCCTATTGGTAGGCAATCAACTTCTTGGTATTGTGTAATTATCGGGGGAGACTTGATATCCTAGACAAGTAAGAAACTTAGTGTAGTTGCAAGGCATACTTTATTAAATCCCTGAGAGATTGAGATAGAATGCCACTTTGTCAAGGACGGTTGAATTAAATAACACCACCACTAGCTTTGTCAATTTCAATGATTAGTTGGTGGGTATCATTATTAAACCAATGAGAAGTCCTCAAATTAGTTGTAACAAGCTTAAAATATATGATTTATGTGTTCCAACTTGATGATGACTGTTGATATTAATGTGAATAAAATATTTTGATTATAAGAATATTAGGTTATTAAGATAGACATGATATTGTAGTTATCTTGCAATATTGTGATTGTACATTGATTCTCACGGAGACTATATAATAGAAGCCTGAGGTATAGTTTAAACACACAGAGTTTCACAATATTATGCCTCTAATTCTCTTACTCCACGCCTATAAAGTTCCAATGGCTCAATATAGCTTCTTAAGTCATGCGAAGTCCAAAGTTGTTTCTATTAGAACTTAGTTCTGTAATTAAGAGTTAGATGCCTAACAGGCAAAAACGGCTAGAAAAGCAAGCAAGAAAGTGACATTAATACATATAACAATTAGTGTATCAACAAAATATTTATTTTCTATAATATCTTTTTCACTATAATAAACAGACAACAAAATTTATCATGCATTATGATCAATAAATATAAACGTTTTTTATTCCAGAACCTATCTGTCAAGAAGAATATATTACATGAAATGAAGCCAGCAAAGTGAATATGACTTTTCCGTTTTGCATTGCATCCACTTTCCGTGTAGCAAAACTCTTTCCGTCGCGGAGACGATGAACTTGATATATGATAGGCACTGGAAAAAAATTGTTTTTAACTTTTTAGTATGTCTGTTATGCTTATTATTCTCTGCCAAAGCAAACAAATGAACTAGAATGCATACATAGATTTTCAGACCATAAAGAGTCTATTGCAAGATTGTTCACTATCTTAAATGACAGAAACTTAAGAATCTATTTTCAAGACAAAGTCAACAAGAAAACAAATTCAAAAATATTCTTGAACAGAACCCTAGAACCATTTTTATGACTTATTTTCACTATATGCAACTGCAATATAGTTTCATGCTTCTTACTACACGCATGACTAATAGCATTCACATCTCATCATAGGAAAAGAAGTAAAAAATAAATAGAAAGGGAAGTTATATCCACAGCAAAGTAATGTAGTCAAAGTTAAGTGATTAGACATGCTTACTGTGTAAGTCTCCTATACGAAGAAAATAGGCATGCAAACTATGAAGTAACTTAAGGCAGTCAACAGATTTTGATGCGGCAGCTAGTGCCTGCGTTTTAGATATTATCTTGTAAGTCTATATATAGGAGCTCCAACTGGCATGAGCAGCTTGCTATAATATGAAGAAAATAATGCGGTTTTACATACCTGTCCAACCAGCTGTCCTCCAAACACCTTTCCAAATCTTGGAGCATCTGGAAGAGTGATTCCTTGGAAGATATCTACCTTCCAAAGAGAATAACAAAAAGCTATAAGGTGAAGTACAGGTTAGGAATTTTAATACTTACTATCAAAGAGAAACAAGTGCTGATATACTATGGTGCTGCTTGCTATAAAAAATAAACCAGGAAAAACACATCATGCTATTTCTATATACCATTTTCAAGTGGCAAGTGTCCTCTTTGTTACAGAGTAGTAGTTTGGCTGTGAGGACATTCTGTGTGGAATCCTAGGTTCGAACCCAAGTCACCATATTTTCCCTTCCCAGAAAATATGTATTTGAATATGTATTTGCTACTAGGCCAATATCAAAATAAATAAAAAGTGGAGAGCATGTATATATCTATCCATATTCAATGATATTTAAATATTTGTATCATCTTTCCTTCCCCCACTTTTCTTAGCTTTCATCATATGCATGTGAACATGTCTTTTCAAAGAGTCGTGTGTAAGTGCAAGGATCCAATTATGTCAAAATGAGAACAGTAGGCACAGTTTCTCATACAGAAGAATCCAATATTATTTTCCTAGTGCAAATAGTAAGTCCATAAAAGCCTTATTGCACAACACTCTGCATAAATATATGGGTTTAGGTAGGAAGAAGGAAAAGAGAGAATAAAGATTCTTGATAATGACATTCTCGTATGTATAAAAACATGATGGATGTGATAATAAAAAAGATAAAGTAGTAAGCTCTATTTATATCAATATAAATATATTCAAATTCAAATTAACATATGATAAAAGACCTCTAATGGTTCTAATTGCAATATATTCTCCATAGCTGAGCACCTCTCAGAAGATTTTTTTGAACTCCATATAGACTTTGGCCATAGCAGTGCTAAGTGCTCACGGGGAAGCACTAAGCATGTTAGCTGCCACAGAAAACAACAAAAATCACCATAGCGGTAAATAACTCATTTCACATGAGTGAAGCTCAGGTTCTTCGACAGTAGATTTTGAAAATAGAAAGCAGTAGGAATAGAAACTAAAGGAGAACCTTTGACAAAGCAACAACATCTGCATTGTGAACTGTATTTGATAAACCTGAAAGTTGCACGTTCACATTATTCTCACATATTACCTAACAAAGCAATTTTAAAAAAAATCTCTAGTATCTCTAGTGAAAAAATATAAATCGAGAAAACATAAATAACAGCTTTATGCAGAAGAACATGGTTATACTTTGAAAAAGAATGAGCAGTTTAACCCACAAAAAGGTTTAAAGAGAGAAAACATAGAGTTATGGTGGCAAAGTCCTACTTATTTGTGATAGCAATAAATATTAGTACATAGAATGAAGTAAAGTATTAGAGAAATTATGGCAAATTGATAATAAAACTAGTCAACAGTTTTCCAACTAATTTTAAGCAACCACTTTCCATAAAAGACTTGTGCTTTCTAGTAGAGTAGAAGACTGCATGTGAGTTAGAAAATGATAACCTAATTGATAAACTTAACAGTGCAGAAGAAGAAAATAATTAGGAATAACCCAATCACAATGGCACAAACTACTTGGCTAGCATACAGCTAACCTAAGCCGTGAAAGAAAAATACTCATTTGCCCAAAAAAGTGTAATTTGAGACAGAAGAAGTTTATTACCACAGCCAAAGTAGGCGTATTTATTCAATTGGAACTCTGGACGATCTACATCATGGGCACCAACAGATCCAACAACCTCAGCCTACAAGAAATGAAGCTAGACTTTGAGTAAAAGTTGGCCAAATGAAATGCTAAGTAAATGCAACTCATTGTCATTTTATTAGCCTCTAGATTAGTGCAGGGCCTACCAAAGTTTGTCCTACACTACCCAGAGCAATTCAATGCAGTTCGGTGTGTTTTATGCATGGTCTATGATATGGAGATATTTACATACCTCTCCATCCCATATGAAGTAAGTTCCATCTCCTGGTTCATCCTCGCGTGCAACATACTCACCTCGCTCTGCAAAAAGAATCAATCGATTGAGAATTGAAAAAGTAATGTTGATATCCTCCAACCAATTTTTACAATTCTAAATGTTGTTATATACTGTAATTATTACCATGAATAAAGAGACTCCATAACGAAACAACATCTTAATGAAAACTTCAAGAACAAATTTCAAAACATATTTTCAGGTAATTCATTGCTTGAATTCCTATTCACAAATACATTTGTGCATTATAGGGCACCACAAACACTAAGTGCACGTTTGGATGAACACAAAACTTCAAATTCACTTTTGGAAGAGTTAAAAGAGAATATAAGACTTGATGCCTATGATTGCTCGCGTCTCCACTTATCCATTTTTGCATCCTAGGACAAGTTTATGTCAGAAGTTATGAATTATCATTTCAACTGAGCGTTTGGTCGAATCTCTTCACATTAATATCAGACATGTGCAAAATTGATTTTGGTATGTTAGAGGATTTTATTAGAATTATTTTGTCTCTAGAACCGATTCAAATTCTTATTTTTCTTTTACAAAAGACATTATTCTGACTACAAATTAAAATATGTAGCTGTTTGTTACCTTACCTCCAACCCAAACGTGATTTTAAACTTATTATTTAACTCATTTTCATGTGAACATATGCAAACATAAATAAATTTACCTTAGACTTTTAACTAAACTCAATTTTATAAAATCAATTTTCGCCATAGTAGATCCAAATACACACAAATCTATGAAGCACGGACAAATGAAACACGACACGGACACTCACACGATAACACCAGTAATAATTTGTAAAAAGGAATAAATTAAACGTAATTGCAAATGTCCGTGTCTGTTTCGGATATTGACACACTTTTTTCAGAGGTGGTGTCGGTGCTACATATACAAAAATTCACCTTCATGAGAATCAATTCTCCGATAATCATATCATATCATTCCCACACTCAAATACATATATTCAACTTCAATTTTTTCATAATCATCTCTTCCAATTCAAAGCAAAAAACTAAACATAACCTAATTATTCACTTTATTGCACATTCATGTAACTGCAATATAAAAATATATATAAAAAAATCATTTCAATTTGATAAAATTGAAATAAATACCATAGTGTTTAACAATCACAAGGTCTGATATCTTCTTTATAGACGAACTAGGAAGCCTCTGTAGTAGCGGAACGCATTCGAGAAACTCGAATACTGCAAAAACTCACAAGAAAAATCACGAAACAAATTCAAACAAAAACACATAATCCTCACACAAATTCGAAACGAAAAAAACGCGAATGAAATTGAGAAAACCAAACGCATCGCAATTGGAAGTAACTTTTCAGCATAATCGAAACGGAAACTCACCTTCTTGGTTGAGGTCCATTTTCACTGAATTGCATCGATTTTATCGCAAGCAATAAATATGTTAGTGCTTTCTCGCAGGAAAATTTTGGTGGTATAAATATGTATGGAAGAGGAAGGGTGAGGATCTAGTGTGTGGGGGTGTAAGGTTGCAGCATGGAGGTTTGGAGATTGGAGCAATAGTCAAAATGAGTGAATCGAGTAAAGAAATTTTCCGTCCACGTGAACAAATGTTGGTCGGTATGCCTAACTTTAACCCAACCGCATTGCTTAATATAAAGATTTTAATACAAATTGGTGGAAAGTGGAAACTAGGGGAAAAAGGTCTCTGGATTAATGCACGAGCAATCTCGTTATTTTTTTTAATGGGTAATAATACTTTTCTGTCTTATAACCGGTGTGCTCTTTTGAATAGGCCCATACCTTTAGCCAATAATTCTATCACTGTTTTATAAAAGAAAGTAAAAATGAATAAATCAAGAATGAGAGAGAAGTTTAGAAGCGAGGGACACACACAAGGCACGCAGTGTCTTTGGCGCCTTAAAGGCAGCCAAGCGCTGCCCTTGAATTTTACACATGTGTTTATTTTAATAATAAAAACCCATTTTGTCTAAATTATATGATGTTTAAAAGAAATAATTGTAGGGTTTTTTTAAAAGGAATTTGTTCGACCGAGTGTTTTCTCGTAAAGAGCAATGATACTTTTTGTCAAGAAGAAAGATGGTAGCATAAGGTTGTGTGTTAACTGTCAACAACTGAATAAAATGACCATCAAGAACAATTATCCTCTTTCGATAACTGATTATTTGATGGATCAGTTGGTTGGTGCTTGTGTGTTCAGTAAGATTAATTTGCGGTTGGGTTATCATCAAATTCGTGTGAAACCGGTAGATATTCTAAAGATTGTGTTCATTACGAGATATGGCCACTATGAGTATTCAGTGATGTCGTTTGGTTTGCCTAATGCGCCTGAAGTATTTATAGAGTATATGAATAAGATTTTCCATCATTATCTAGATCAGTTCGTGGTGGTGTTCACCGACGATATTTTGATATATTCTAAGTTTGATGAAGAGCATGCGGAGCATCTAAGAGTTGTGTTGCAGACCTTGCAAGAAAAAAAGTTGTATGTAAAGTTGTCCCAGTGTGAGTTCTGGTTGAGAAAGGTCGGTTTCCTCGGGAATATAATTTCTAGTTGTGGTGTTGTTGTTTATCCGTCGAAGATAGATGTAGTGTTGAAGTGGGAAACCTTGAAATCTGTTACTGAGATCAGAAGTTTTCTTGGTTTGACTGGTAACTACATAAGGTTCATTTAAGGCTTTTTGAAGTTAGTATTTCTTTTAACTCAGTTGACTCGAAAGGGCCAAGCTTATGTTTGGGATGTGCTTTGTGAGGAGAGCTTTCAAGAAATCAAGAGGAAGTTGACTTCTACTCTAGTTTTGATTTTGTCGAATCTAAGTGAATCATTTGTTGTGTATTATGATGATTCGAAGATGGATATAGGCAGTGTGTTGATGCAGAATGGTCAAGTTATGGCTTATGCTTCTAGACAGTTGAAAGTTCATGAGAGGAGTTACCATACGTATGATATAGAGTTGACAACCATAGTGTTTGTGTTAAAGATTTGGAGGCATTATCTGTTTGGTTCTAGATTTGAAGTGTTTAATGACCACAAGAGTTTGAAGTACCCGTTTAATCAAAAAAGAGATGAATATGAGATAGGGGAGATGACTCAAATTTCGGAAGGATTATGATTTTCGCTTAAGCTGCCATTCAGGTAAAGTCAATGTCGTAATCGATGCATTAAGCAGAAAGTCGTTGCACATGTTGATGTTGATGGTTTGAGAGTTGGAATTGGTTAGGCAATTCAGAGGCATGAGTTTGGTGTGTGAAGAGACTTCTAGCAGTATGAAGTTAAGAATATTGAACCTGACCAGTGGTATCCTTGAAGAAATTAGAGAGGGTCAGAAAATCAACGTGGGATTGATCGACCGATTAATGTTAATTAATCGAGGAAAATGAGGTGATTTTAGAATCGACAAGAATAGTGTGATGAGATTCAGAGATATAGTTAGTGCACCAGATGTGTCAGAGCTTAAGAAAAGTATTCTTGAGGAATGACATAGGAGTGGTCTGAGTATTCATCCTGGTGCCACTAAGATGTACTAGGATTTGAAGAGAATGTTTTGGTGGCAAGGAATAAAGAAGGAAGTAGCTGAGTTTGTTTACGCTTGTTTGACTTATAAAAAGTTTAATATTGAGCATCAAAAACCGTCAGGAATGATGCAACCGTTGAGTAATCTTAAGTGGAAGTGAGACAACATTTCCATGGATTTTGTGACAAGTTTTCCAAAGACGACAAAAAAATGTGACTCCATTTGTGCTATTGTTGGTAGAGTGACTAGATCGGCTCATTTCATTCTGATTAAGATCAATTATTCTTTGTAGAAGTTAGTTAAGTTGTAAATTTAGAAAGTTGTTAGCCTGCATGATATTCTTCGAGTATTGTGTCGGGTAGAGATCTGAGATTTACGTCAAAGTTTTGGCAGAGTTTGCAGGAAGCGTTAGGTGCTAGGCTTAAGTTGAGTTCGACTTATTATACCAATGTGAGTTGGATATCAAGTGTTGGAGATTATAAATCTACAACTGGGTGGATGTTTATATTAAGTCAGAGGTGTAATTTATTTGAAGAACAACAAACAAACATGCAATGCTCTCTATACCATGGAATTATAGTTCATGACTCTCGTGTCTGCTTGACAAAAAGCATAATGGTTGAGGGACCTTTTGTTAGAGATTCCATTAGCTAAGGGTAGTGTTTTAAAAGTGCTGATACGTTGTGATAGTCAAGACACCCTAGCTAGAGCACTCAGTAAAGTATATAATGAAAAGTCTAAACACGTAGGTCTTAGACATTCTTTCATGAGAAAATTGATTAAGGATTGGATCATTGCACACACACACACACACACACACACACACACACACACACACACACACACACACACACACACACACACACACACACACACACATATATATATATATATACATATATATATATATATATATATATATATATATATATATATATATATATATATATATATATATATATATATATATATATATATATATATAAACAAACTATAATACAACTGATCTGTTTGCTAAGCCACTAACCAGAGACTTAGTAAAGAGTACCTCGAGAGGTATGAGATTGAAACTCCTTGAATAAGGGTTTCGACAATAATATCAATCCAATTTAAAGTTAAGAAAACCTTAACCTAAGATTCAATGGGTAACAAGAAATCGTTGATTTGTATGTTTATGCGACATTATATAATAATATTGACTAATGCAAATTGAGGGTTGAGTTTTTTTCAAACTTTTAATGAAGTTCAATTCAAGGATACTTGTCCCATGAAAAAGGGATACAAAGTGAACTTCACCTATGTGAATTTCGAGATGGTGCCGTCGCAAAGTGAATACTGGAGTTTCTCTCATGAAAAATTCATTAAACAGGAAAACATATAGCCATAAATAAGTGTTAGGCGAGAAATGTAGGCAAAGAACTATTAAAGAATATGTGTAAAGTAACTCTGGTCTAGTCACAACGAATAATGATTTTAAAGTGTTGCTACCTAACATTCTAACTAGATTTTCTATTGTCCTTACTAAGGTTAAGTTTAAAATCGAAAGATACTTAACTGTATTAACATTCTTTATTTTTCTTTTTATAAAATTGTTCTTGTCATTATTAGAACAAATGGAAGATTGTTGTAAATTATTAATAATTAATAATCTCGAGTGTGTTCCAAAATGACAAGAAAATATACAAATGAAAATTAATTTTTGAATTCAGAAAAATGCAACATTTGTGAAGTGTTCGAGTAGATTTGAATTCAGAAATAGACAATATTTGTGAAATGTTGTAGTAAGTTTGAATTCAGAAATAGGCAACACTTCGTGAAGTGTTGCAAAATAAAAGTATGCAACTCTTGAGAAATATTATTATGAGCGAAACAATGTAACTATTGGTAAAACATATGTAACTTTTGGTAAAGAGTGTGTAACTTTTGGTAAAAAGTACGTAACTTTTGATAAAAGAAAGTTGTTTCCACCAAGTATCGCAATCTTAGTGAAACAATACTAATATGATCTATAAATACTTTATTCTGAATTCAGAAAAACAAAACAAAAAAGTACATGATACTATTCCCTACATTCGAGTTTTTATTAGTCTTTTGCAAACTTGATTATAGGCCGAATTATTCTATATATTTATGCGTTTCACCTCTAAAAAATATTTGAGAATATTAAAATACTTTTAAAGAAAATGATTTTGTTTATGATTTTAACATCGATCTATTTAATTTAAATTAATTTTAATAAAAAATTAACTAGTGTATAATTAAAATAATTTTAAAATTTAAACATGATTTAACGAGTGATGATAATTTTATCTTTTAACAATCTATCAATATTTTGTATATAAACTAAAATAAAAAAAGAGAAGAATATTAATGATTCCAATTAGTACATTCTACAAACCAACCCAATCAACCGTGAGATAACAATGGCTTTGACTGACCGGTATCACAGTCTCGCCTAACCTCTTTCAACCCTCTTTCTCCCTTTCTTCTTCCTCTACAGATTCATCCCTTTCCACCACTCCCAAACCCTCAATCTCTCTATTTTCCCCTTTCTAAACAACTTTCACTTTTCAAATTCCCCAACTAACCATTATTTACCCCATTCTTAAGCTCCTGACATTTTTGTAGTACCCTCAATTGTTACTTGGGAATTTTCCATACTTTCACCAATTGGGCTCTCTAATTCACCTTAAAGTTTCGATCTTTACAATTTCTTAATCTCCATGTGTGTTTTCAACTCTCCTTAGTTTTGTTCATTACATTTTGTACCGTATTTGTTCATGTATCAAACTATTGTAATTGTAATAGTTTCTTTTAATCTATAAGCATGAGAGTATCTATGGTACATACTAGTTTTTGCTGAATTTCCAAGCTTTAACTTTAACAACCCTAGTGGCATAGGTTATGTATGAAGCAAGTTAGTTTTTGATGTTATTTGTGTCAACTGTTATTTCTGTTTGTAACATTTTGTCAACATGCTTGAATTGAAGTATATGCATTGATGTCAGTTATCTGTGGGCTTCCTATACTTGAGTGTGTTTATTGTTTGGGTTGTGCGCGTTGGGTTTGGAAAAAATGTCTCTACACTGCAGGCTATGAGAGTGAGAATTGGGGTTTGGCTACTGCAGAGGAGTTTGAGCCTATACCGCGATTTTGTCGCGTGATATTAGCTGTTTACGAAGATGATATTCGTAACCCTCAGTGGGCTCCGGAAGGTGGTTATGGTATTAATCCTGATTGGATAATCTTGCGGAAGGATTACGGGGATAACCAAGGTTGCGTTACTCCGTACATGATATACGTTGATCATGATCGTGGGGAAATTATACTTGCTGTTAGTGGACTCAATTTAGGGAAAGAAAGTGATTACGCAGTTTTGCTTGATAATAAACTAGGACAGACGGAATTTCATGGTGGATATGTTCATAATGGGTTGTTGAAGGCGGCGGAATGGGTTTTTGATGCGGAATGGGAGGTTTTGAGGAAGCTAATAGCGGAATACCCAACTTATATGCTGACATTTGTTGGACATTCGCTTGGGGCTGGGGTGGTGGCGTTATTGACAATGCTAGCGCTTCATGATCGCGACAAATTGGGGTTGCAGAGAAACAAGATAAAATGCTACGCAATTGCTCCTGCTCGATGCATGTCTCTCAATTTGGCTGTAAGATACGCGGATGTGATAAATTCTATTGTACTACAGGTCAGATGGTTTCCTTATAGAATCTTGTTGTGTTTATAGAAGCGATCATACGTAGAACCTAACCTTAAAAGAGAGCGAACTTTGCTGATTTTCTATCTATTTATTAGTTGTGTTGTGTGCACTAATATTTTATACTTGCTTACTCTTTCTGAGCAGGATGATTTTTTACCTCGGACAACGACTGCTCTGGAAAGCGTCTACAGGTCACTTTTATGGTAAAATAATTATCACGACTTTGAATCAGTTTTATTGTATGAATTAATGCTGAAGGCATTGACAATTAATTTTTCTAAGGCATCCTAGTAGAGAGCCAACATCGTGTAGAGATTGAAGTGTGCATGCATTGTGATGGAATAATTTTTTAAAGTTATAACTATGTATTCAAATCAAATGCCATTAAATTGCCGGTTGTTACCCTGGAGAATCCATGGCATGGTGGAATTTGTGCCAGATGCCATAGTCCACAACACCATATTATAAGGCATATTTTTAGCGGCCACCATAATCAACCATTGATAATACCGTTTTTGAACACCTGATCTCTCCCACACCTTCGGGTTCCCATGATGTAGAAGTTTGATAATGGAAGAACTTTTCTTTGGGTTAAGGTATAGATATTATTTTTTGTAAGATGTACAATAACCAATCCTAAGCCTAAACTGGTGATGGTATCATGGTAGAGACAAAAGTCATTTTAAGGCTTAAATTTAACACTGTTGAGCATTTTGAAGTTTGTCCTTTTAAGTAACTACTATCTATGTTATCAATATCGGATAGCGGCGCGGTGCGGCCATCCCTAAAAATTAAACTGAATGGGACCGGGGAGCAGAACGGCCAATATTTTAATGACGCGGACTCTAATACAGTTAATACTAATGAACAAAATTGTTAAAAACTAAAATAAATTAATCAAAATTCATGAAGTATTCATATTTAGAAATAAAAGCCATAAGTCTTGAACAAAACATATTTACAAATGTCAATAAAGTAACCTTGCATTCCTTAAAAATTTTAAGGTAATATCAGAGCGGTCGCATTCTGTATCTAATCCCATTGTCGCGGTCATTCCAGCCGAGTCACCCAGGCCTGACGCGGTTTTCTTGGTTCTGCTGTTTCGTGCCGATATAACGTCTGGAACACCCGAGTTTGATAACATAGACTACTACTACTACTACTACTACTTGCTTTTTCAACATACTTATGTATTTTTTATTTACCTATCTGTCCTATCATCTAAACATTTCTCTTGTTAAAACTAAGTTCCATTTTTCCTGAATTTGCGTTTGGTTCCAACCAGTTAATAAGGTTTTTTTTTCCTCGGAAAATGCCGTCAACCTGATTTATTCATAGATTACGGGATTTGTTGAATGAAGTGGTATAATTTGTATACTAACAATAGGGAATAAGCTTTTCAATTTTTCATGCATATGCATTGGACTATTGCATTTCAGCTTTTGCCATTAGGATGAATGAACTCAGAGCACTGTTATCCTTTCATGCTTATGCATCGGATTAGTACAATCCAGCTTCATAAGCTACAATGGCTGTTTTACTTTCTTGGCAGTTGGCCTTGTTTATTGTGTCTCTTGTGCTTAAAGGATACTTGCACACTGGAGGAAAAGAAGCTTAGAGACCCAAGGCGTCTGTACGCACCTGGTCGTCTCTATCACATTGTGGAGCGAAAGCCCTTCAGGTACAGTATTTGATGTTATCTTAACGATGTTTCACCGAGCAATCTATTACGTAAGCCAAAGTTATGAATTCTAACATAAAAGGCCATTAAATGTTTTTAACATGCTTAAGTGCTTAAATTTATCAAATTATTGAATTCGATGCATTGAATATTATCTATATGCAGCAATAATTTGGAGTATAGTCTTCTGGTTGCAGGTTTGGAAGATTTCCACCGGTTGTTAGGACAGCGGTACCTGTTGATGGGAGGTTTGATCATATAGTTCTTTCTTGCAATGCAACTTCTGACCATGCCATCCTTTGGATTGAGAGAGAATCCCGACAGGCGCTCGATGTAAGCTATTTACTTCTTTCACTATTAGCAGGGCTTTGGTTATTATTTTTATTATTATGTGGTATTTCTAAGCCATTATATTTCTTGAATCAGTTAATGCTAGAGAAAGATCGACATATGGATATTCCGGCCGAGCAGAAGATGGTGAGGCAAAAATCTCTAGCTCGCGAACACAGTCAAGAGTACCGCGCGGCCCTTCAGAGGGCAGTTGCTTTGGATATTCCTCAAGCATACTCGCCTTCCTCATATGGAACATTTCATGAAATTGATGTCGAGGAAGATTCCGGAAGATCTAGTGGCAAAAGTTCCTCCTTGTCTGACAAGAAACAATCGGAAGGTTGGAATGAATTTGTCGGGCGGATGTTTGACGTGGACGACACAGGTCATATGGTGTTCAAGAAGACCACTCCTTAAAGCATTTCTCTATATTAGGCTTATTAGAGCCTTCTTTGCTTGGGATGTTCACAGGTCACAGGTCATATGGTTCCAAGAATGAAAATTCATTAATTTTTCATTAAGCACTTATTTTAGTTTAGTACATGTTTTGTTGGGATGTTCATTTTAGCTTGGCCTCCATGTGAATATTATAACATAAAAAGCCTATTTGGATTAATCTTCTTAGGAACTATTTGTAGAAAGAGAAAAATGAATAGTATTTTTGATATATAAGAATAACTTTTTTTGATATTCTTTTAATTTGTTAAATATCAGGCACTTGAGAGTCCCAAATTGACTTTGGTTAAGCAGGTGCAAAAGTGATTAATCAAGAGGTAATGAGTCAGTAATAGCAAGATCAAATCTTCAAAGCACTTTTTTTTGGATACAAATGAGATGCTATGCAATCATGATATTCCCACTGCAAAAATCTAGTGCTTAGATTTTGTGTCTTTTTTGAATGACCTACAGATCCATATTTATTCTTAGGTCAGTCCTACACATCATTTTGTCTCATTGTTTACTTGTTATAGCAGCTAGTTAAAATGTTTTAATCCACTAACACATTTTTTTTTAATTTTGTATTAAAATAATCCTTATTGATCTACCTGGTGAATGTTTGAGTTTGAGAGTGTGTTTATCTCAAGATTCCGGATTTGAATTCTGTTAGATGCTAATAATTTCTTTCTCGATGCGTTGATTCATACAGGGTCTTGACTTTAAATAGACTTCTGCAAATGACAAGTGAGATTGGTCTTCTTAAAATAGATTTTTGTAAATAAGCGGTGAGATGTGGTTGTAAGGTTGAATACTAAATTATAAGACATGAGAATGTTGTTGTGAATGCAATAATGTATCCACATTTAATTTGACAAATGAAGAGGTGATAAAAAGTGTGAATATGGTTTATAGTATGTGACATTAAGATGCTTTTGACCAAATAGTTGTTGAAAACTTTTAAAAGAAGAAAGTGTGATCCATGCATAGCGGAATATAAATATACAAAGTCATCGTGGTTGGGATGCTTTGGCAGCTTATTACCAGCCTGTCTTGCATATATTAAAAACAAGCAACATGTCAAAAGAAAAATAAAACTATATATAACATCTTATTGTTGATGAATGAATCACTCATGTAAAAAGAAAATGAAACTATACAAAACATCTTATTGTTGATGAATTAATCAGTCTTGTACTATTTGATTGCTTTGGGACACTGCACTAGATTGTTGGACCTGTATCTAATGAATTTTGTATGAGGTTTAACTTCATGATTCATGCAATTTTTTGAAAAGTGCAAAAATATGAGTTCTTAAGGTTTGAGAGCATTTGAACATTTAAGAGTTATTAAGGAGAGGATTCAATCTTTCTATATTGAATTTTTTTTAGTAATATTGTCTTGGTTGACCTTAAATTCGTTTCACTGTGGTTATAAGGTATTGCCTGTTTTATGTGTGAGAATCCTCACAGTTTTATCCTATAAAAAAAAATGTTTTATTGGATTGAGGTGTATGAGTGTTGTATATAAACTATCATTAGTCTCGATTCTGAAACAATGCGGAACTATTTTGGCCATCCCAAAACAACTGCTCTTTCATGCGAAACTAAAGGGCACGGTGCGAACTTCGAGTTCCCACATATGACTCTACTGTTCCGCTTAGGTAATTAGAGATAAATGATAAAATGATGGAATAAAGTTCAAACACGTTGGATTAGACTTTGATGCAAATGATGGAATAAAGCTCAAACACGTTGGATTAGACTTCGATGCAGTGAATCAGACTTCCAGTGCAATGAGAAGGAAGTGAAACTCTAAAATTAACACTAACGTTTTAGTCGGTGATAGAGTAAAAAATAGTTTGAAAATGAAAATAAATTGAATATCTGAAATGATGCGAATTGATATTTATACAATATAAACAGTTAAAATTGTCTGCATGTGATCTGATACGTGATGTGATACTTTATACAAGTTACAGTTCAATTAGATTAAAGAGTAATAGATGTGTTGACTGACGTGATCGTGTGTCATCGACAAATACAATGATTAACTGGTATAGTCCGCCTTCTTATGTGACGCTAATTAGTACGACTTCTCGGTGGACCCTCCACCAGAACAACTTAAAACGGAAAAAAAAATTAATGATTATTTATTTAAACAGTTGAGATGTTCTCTTCTATAAATGTAGGTATCTTTTTAGAACCAAGTACATCAACAAACATACATGCTATTTCTCTACTGTCTTTTATTGTTAGAACTCTCTTTTTTGTCAATCTCCTCAAGTCACCAATATCTGACAATTTCAAATATCAAAATAACTGATAAAAAAATCTAATGTTAATTTCACTGATTAAATTACCAACCACCTATAATTAATAAACCAAATTGATGTTCCACATGGAAAATAGTGTATACACTTTAAGCAACATAATTTCTATATACATTGATTCCACCCTTGTTGATTTATTTCTATACAAAGCCCTTTTTTTAATAAATCATGGTCATAGACTCCACTTATCCCACCATCATTAACTTTAGTCCAATCATTAATTTCCAAATCACAATCCATTTTATAAAACCTATTGACTCTACAAAATCACCTAACAAGTTAGTTTTATTTTAGCTTCATTATGCTATATACCTTTGTTGCCACTTCTAAACCATTACTTATTATATTCATCATTCTTCAACTATAAGCTTCTGACCAAACTTTTATACATTAAATACACCACAAAACTTTGGTGTCAAAATACCAATATCACCTTTTCCAAATGGCAAATTCTTATGTTGTTGATCTTCCTATTATAGATATTTCTGAACCATTTCAATCTTCTTCTTTGACATCTCTCTCTAAAGCATGCAAAGATTGGGGATTTTTTCATATAATCAATCATGATGTTTCTAAAGATCTTTGTAGCCAGCTTCATTCTTTGTCTAAGATTATATTTCATCTTCCTTCTGATACTAAGCTTAAACTTGGTCCTTTTTCTTCTGTGAAATCTTATACACCTCACTTCATTGCTTCTCCTTTCTTTGAGAGCCTTAGAGTTGATGGACCTGATTTCTATGTTTCTGCTAAGAGTTCTCAAGATGTTTTGTTTGAAAAGCAGAATTCTAAATTCAGGTAATGTTTAAACAAACTACGTTATCTCTTTATATTAGGCCTTTTAAATTATTGTGTCTGTGTCAGTGTCAGTGTCAGTGTCGTGTCTGTGGTTTTCATAATTTGTTTCTCTGTTTGATATTTTCATCAACAGTGAGACACTAGAGGACTATTGCAACAAAATGGCAGACTTATCAGAAAGAATCTTGAAGCTAGTCTTGATGAGTTTAGGAAAAGGCTTTGAGAATCTATTTTATGATTCTCACTTCAAAAACTGTCAAGGCTACTTAAGAATAAACAACTACACATCACCAGAAACAATGGATTCAGAAAACCATCTTGAAGGACTAGGAATGCACACAGACATGAGCTGCATAACAATCCTCTACCAAGACGAAATCGGCGGGCTACAAGTGAAGACACAAGAAGGAAAATGGATTGACATAAGTCCTTCTGAAGGGTCCTTAGTGGTGAACATAGGTGACATGATGCAGGCCTGGAGTAATGATAAGTTAAGATCTTCTGAACATAGAGTTGTTTTGAAGAAGCCTGTGGAGAGATTCTCTTTGGCTTTTTTTTGGTGTTTTGAGAATGAGAAAGTGGTTTTGGCTCCTGAGGAAGTTGTTGGAGATGAGAGTGAGAGAGTTTATGAGCCTTTTGTGTGTTCTGAGTATTTGAAGTTTAGAGAGAATAATCAGAGAGGCAGATTTGAAAAAGTTGGTTATACTGTTAGAGATTTTGCAGGGATTAAGTAGAAACTGTGAATTTGATTATACTATATATGATGATTTATGATTTCTTTTATTTATATTTATAGTGATCTAAGTTGTGAAAATGGTATATATATAACATAAAGTATATATAAAGTCTTTGTTGATATTTAAATATGTTTATTTAGATTACGGTGTTAAATTGCGGTGGTAATTTTAATACTTGTGGTGAACTGAAAAGCCTTGTCTGTGAAAGAGTCGCACTTAAGAAAATATGAAAGTTCATGATTTTGCGAGTTGGGTTGGGGTGAAAGATTTTTATTTTTGAAAAGTTTGATTTAATTTTTTTTAATTTTTATTGTGAAAGAGAAGTAAATAGTGTTAGTTTTAGATTGTTTATAGAATTGATCAGGTGTTTGTTTTGTTTGTTGTATGAAGATTTATATTTGGAGTTTCCAACTGCACATGAAAAATCATGTGTTTATCTGTTCTTATTGTTTTTTTGGTTGGATGTGCATAGTATCTATTGAAGAGACAATAGTATTGATTTTAAAAGCACATATAGATCTAAGAAAATATTGAATACTAAAGTCACCTCTAGTTTATGAAAATTAGTACCTAGTTGTAAGTTGTAAATGACAATTATATTAGTTTCCAATACTAAATAGTTATGATTTTTAAAGGCATTAGATAAAGAAAAAACCCCTCCTTTACATATACACATATAGATATTTAGACCATTCCCAATGAAATGTATCTTTCTTTTTAGGGTGAAAATATGACTCCAATGAAGTGTTACTTTCCTATTCAAAAATTGAAATAAGAAATCAAAGTTAGAAAATTGAAATAAACAATAAAAGGAAAATGAGATATATTTTTACAATTAGTAATATTCAAGAGTAGAAAAGAAGATTGATAACGGGTCAATGAAAAGTTTTCTAATACAACGATGTTGATCTCCAATACACTAGAGCGGGAGTGTTTATCCAAGGATACCATGTAAGAGCACAGATTGTGTCTTAGTAATATCTCTATGTTTTGATGATAACATTAATGATAATTTGTATACAAGAATTATACTCTCTAAATTTGTTCTAAACTGTTTTCTACAGGTACAAAAGATTTTAATCTTAAAGAGCAAATTTGATGTGAACAATGAATTCTGA